GAATAAATACCACACATAGCAACACAAAACTGCTTTGCTAGCTCAATCATGTTGTAACGGCTGGATGATTGATGCGTACATGCTGATTCAGGTGCTATCAGAGCCGATCCGCGCATCACTATGGCTTAATGATCAACTCAGTCAATTAAAACAACCCGTCCTGTGTTAGGAGTGTATGTCGCTGACAGAAAGAAAGAAAGAAAAGGGGAAAAAAGATAGAAAAGCAGCGTACACCTCACATATTTATTTCTCACAGTTGCGCACACGTTTGGCTGGCATGCAGAAGCACCGTCTGTGTGTCGAGGGTACGAGCCGCAGCTTCAGCTGCTCAAGTAGAGAGGCTGTGTAGCCCGGTGTGTTTTTTCGCTGATTCAGTTCTGCAGGTTCTCTGCTGGTACACTGGAGACGGGGATCAAGCAGTTTGTCTCACTCGGGATAGATTGTGCTTTTTTGGTTCGTAGTTTATGATTGACGTGCGATTTATTCGCTTTTAGGGGGAATAAATTTCCATTATAACGGAAACGTGGGCACAGTTATCTATACAAAATACACAGACTAACTAACTAACTAACTAACTAACTGATTGACTAACATAAACAACTGAAAACTGAAAAAAAAATAGCTTGCACTGTTAGCTCCAGTAAGGGAAAGCATGAGGGAAAGCGGCTGACCGGAAGTCACGCACAAAAAAACGGAAGTTGATCACTATTTACTTCCTTGTTTGAAAATAAGGTGGATAAGCCATGTGCGTCATCTATGTATATATATATCTATGGGGAAGGACGTCTCATGTCTCTTAAACCGACAATGCTCGCTCATCGCTCCTAGCGCTAGCTCCTCACGTTTTTTCCTTGGTGGGAGGGGCTAAACAGCTAGCAAAGTCGGCTAGCAGTAGCACTAGCAGTAATTTAAGAGACTTGGGATGGACCCATGGAACTATTGAGAGGCTCCGCGAACCGCCATTGCTGTGAAAAAAATGGCCCATTAGAGTGAACGAAGATGACGCGACTCTATTCAAGGACTCTGGTTTACAGTGTAAAAAGACAGAAAATACAGAACACATAATTATGGAATGCAATAAGACCAAGGTACCTTTTAGACCAAGGTACATTTTAACCGTTTGTTTTCTGGGAATAACTGACACAATGAGAAACCAGAAACAAGTCGTTTTTTCGTTTTTGGCAAGAAAATGAAAAAACGAAATTCAGCTCAATTTCTTGTTTTCTGATCCTATTGCAAAAAACAAATTTACCATTTCGTCTCATTGGTGGGCGGGCTCTCAGCACTCCCTTGCTTCTGATTGGCTAACGTGCTCTGTCACTTACATTTGGGCTGTGCCCTTCAAAATAAGGTTACCTCTTGGCCTTTACGCCAGCAGTATGTCTCTGCAGACCCGGAGGCTGCAGATTCGACCCACACAGACAGGCAATGAAGTAATACAACAGCGTTTTATTGTATTGCCTGTTAATATGCAGCTGATAGACCATGAAAATTAAAGCTCTATAGTAAGTTTTCTTCAGGATGTACTGTGAACAGTGAAGTCTGCTCTCAGTAAAACTATCAACATGACAGCAAGCACGCCAAAAGTAGTTATTAAAAATGACCAGCAGGTGTCGCACTGCATCAAAGTTGTCATCAAAAATACAAATATGAATGAATAGGCCTATGTTGACAGTCAGATGGGAAAAAACTGATGTACATCTATGGAAAGGCATTTACTATAGGCTACTATCAGTTAGAGTTAAGCTGTCACTGGACTTTCCCCTCAGTTGTGGTCACATGGAGACACTTGATAATAATAATAATAATTGTGCAGACAGTTTAGAGATTCACACTACCTGCTATGGTGGAGTAAAAAGAACCATCTAGTTTTTATTGCAAGTGGAAATTTTATATATATGTGTGTATATAATATATATATATATATATACATTTATTACATTCATTATTGCAAATAATGTGTAATCTCATTTAAAATGATAAAAATCTGTGTGAAGCTTTAGACACGTAGGATGAATAATAATGAATAATGATCTCTATCGATGTGATTGGTCGCACTGATGGAACATAATTCATATAGTCTAATATTGGAGATTATTAATATTTGTGAGTGAGCAGGATCGTGGTGCAGCTGCAGAATGTAGCTTGAAAGTGAGTTTCTTTAATAGTCTGAACGTGTTTTAACAGCATTGAACAGTTTATCAGATTCCAAGAAACACTGTTTTGTATATAACATGCAACGTTTTGTACATGTAGCATTGTGTTGTACTGTATATAGCATGTATCATAGGCTACATACTATCCTCTATTCATTTGTACTATTGATCTTAGATCATGTGTATATTTTTACTCAAATTGTTTTGATTGTATTCTTCTCCCATTTTTATATTTGCACTGTGTGTCAATGCCTGGGTTCAATAAAGGACATCTTAGTCTTACCACTTAGCACAATTTTGTCTGTAGCTGCTATTCATCCGTACCCTACCTGATGTGGTTGTGATATTCAGAGAAGAAATAATATCTAGGTATGTGTATTAAATAAAGTTGATTTGACTCTATCTGTATCTTTGCCTGTGTTCAAATACATGTTCAAATGTACAACTGACACAAAAATGCAATTGTTTTTTTAATGCAAAACATTTGGTGAAACACCAATAACAATAATAACAATAATATACAAACATATAATATACAACAATATAACAATAATAACGGAACTTGGAACTTGTAATTGATTGAACTTTTTATGGAAGGGACTTCAAAAAGGCCAGTGCCGTGGACAGCCCAGCAACCTCTGCGTACAAAGGATCCTTGTCCCGGCACTTCAGGCACGTGGAGGATGTGCTCCTCCACTCCTCAACGCATGGGGGATAGTATGTAGCCTATGATACATGCTATATCCAGTACAATGCTACTTGCTACATGTACAAAACGCTGCATGTTATATACAACAGAGTGTTTCCTGGAGTCTGATAAACTGTCCAATGCTGTTAAAACACGTTCAATTAAAACGTTCTATTAAAGAAACTCACTTTAAAGCTACATTCTCCAGCTGCTCACTCAAATATTAATAATTTGCAATATTAGACTATATGAATTATGTTCCATCAGTGCGACCAATCACATCGATAATGGTAATGGACCTGCATTTGTATAGCGCCTTTCTAGTCATCTAGTGACCACTCAAAGTGCTTTTTACACTACGAGTCACATTCACCCATTCACCCATCCCTCATTGGCCGAGGCTACCATACAAGGTGCCACCTGTTACTCAGTTTTAACACACTCACACACCGATGGAACAGCCATCTGGAGCAATTTGGGGTTCAGTATCTTGCTCAAGGATACTTCGACATGCAGCCTGGAGGAGCCCGGGATCGAACCGCTGATCTTTCGATTTGTGGATGACCCGCTCTACCTCTGAGCCACAGCCGCCCCGATAGAGATCGTTATTCATTGATCCTACATGTCTAAAGCTTCACACAGATTTTCATAATTTTAACTGAGAATACACACTATTTACAAAAAAACATTTCAGTGCAGGCGCTGCTCTGACAGACTGACAGCTGTCTGATCCATGTGCACAGAGGCACAGACTTATAAAAAAAAAACAAAAAAAACTTCCACTTGCAATAAAAATGACTTTTTTTTATTCTGAGTGAATTAATTCTGTGTAATATTTGAAAGTGAAGACAAAAGACGATGTTCAAAGAAATGATGTGCATAAAATCAGTAGCCTAACTTCAGATAGTCCATGGACTATCAGTTATTCCCAGAAAACGGTTAAAAGGTACCTTGGTCCTCAGGGTACCTTGGTCGTAGGTAATCCTTTTTTTCTAAATTAATTAATTTATTTTTTGTTTGTTTGTTTGTTTTTTTGTTAAATCTCGGTTAAACATTAAATAATAGTAATTTATCTGCATACTCCGGTACAGTAGGTGGTGGTATGCACCTTCTAAAGCCAAGTTTGCAATCCGCCATAAAACGAAAAGAAGAAGAAGAAGAAGGAGAAGGAGGAGAAGAAGAAGAACGACGTAAGGACGTATTGTTAGTGTACTTTCCACGTTAACGACTCTGCTATACAAGTTAGCATGTGCGCCCTCGAAGGTTCAGCATAATTTACGTTCTCAGTTAATGCACATCGGAATATTCACATCTTCGGCAACAGCATGAGCACGTTATGGATGGGGAACGTGAGTTGTATAACGTTATACATTTTTATTGCAATGAATCATTAAGTATGACCACTGTGTTAGCTATGTTAACATACATTATATGACTGGAAATGTATCAAGACCCCCGTTAGAAAAACAAAACTTTAATATTAACTGACCTTGTTTGTCGAAGAGCTGGCATCGAGTAGCTCATGGACTAGTGTTAATTTCTGGTTATTCGGCACATCAGTAATACAACACGGATAACTCCGTTGAAGTAAAGCCTACGTCTCAATGAACTCTCCTCTTCACTGCGGTGGATGAGATACGGTTAGGCCCAAACGCGGGTTAGGTAAAGTTGGAAAGATATTGGCAGATTCGAACTTCCGGGATCAATAACTCTTCAGTGAAACGTTGTTAAAACACAAAACACGCATATTTTCAATCGTAGTAAGATAGACAACGAGCTACAACATAATAATCATCAAAATGAGCCGTCCTCGGAGCCACACCAAGAACATTGGTGTTTACGTGCAGCCGGCTGTGAGCGCAGCGCGCAGGGACCGTCTACAAAGTGCAACACCGAAAAGAGATTATACAAAAATATTCAATAACGTCACTATAATACAGTGTAGTGTCACCAAACTCACTCCATACGTCACTGGTCTCCTACAGAGTACACTACAACACTTGGTTGGAAAGAAAGGCATTTTAAATAATTTCTGGGAATTTTTATTAGGAATATTAATCAATAATTTCAATATGATGCAGTGTAGTGTCACCAAACTCACTCCACACTTCATTGGTCTCCCACAGAGTACACTACAACACTTGGTTGGGAAGGCAGGCATTTAAAATAATTTTTGGGAATTTTTATTAGGAATATTAATCAATAATTTCAATATGATACAGTGTAGTGTCACCAAACTCACTCCACACTTCATTGGTCTCCTACAGAGTACACTACAA